AAACTCGAAAGTCGACTTTCTAGTGAAGTCGAACAACCCTAGTCCTCGGTCTCCCCATTGTCTGGATTTGATGCACTGCGTCCTTCAGCCGTTTGTTAATCTTCGAATCTTTCCAGTCACGTCTTTGCTTGGAGTTGAAGCTTTGCTTCTGCTGGGACATGAACAACCACCATGCGTTACTCGACATTACTTCCGGCTTATCTCCGGGAGTGCACCATCTCACATGGTCGTGCTTCTGCCGGCCACTGGTGGTGACCAGACCATGTCTCTTCTCGTGGCACCCTTCTCGCCAGATCTATGCCGCATCATCTCTCCATGACACCCAGACTCCCGCCTTCGTGCTGCACTGCCTTTAGCACATCTTGCTACATCCGGATCCTTACACTGAAACTTTCCCAGTGTTTCCGCATCTCGCTCCTTCGCCGGCTTCAACCTCATTGACCGGACATGTATAACCTCATCCTTGGCTTCCGGCTTAACTGCTTGCCTTTGCCGACCACGTTTTTCGGGACACTTCAAAGCGCGCCTACTGCTCCCACTGCCGCTTCCATTTCCGGCCACCGGCGTATCACCATTGCAACGTGGTTCAGTGGCTTTCCTCCTGCCGGNGCTGCATAACTGAAACAATTTTCAAAATTTTTAAAAATCCTTTAGTGTCTGTTTTTTTTACCTAGCATTTAATTTCACTAAATTACAGATTATTCTAAATACCACTAGTAAATCATGATACTTTTGGCGTATTCTGACTCTTATATTTATAGCCAATATATGAGTTATATGCAGAGTATACTTAATACATTTTCTTTTTATTAAAAAAGTCGAACAAAGTCGACTTTCCTTCGTGGATCGATCGACTTTTAAAGTCGACTGTACAGAGTCGATCGAAAACTCGAAAGTCGACTTTCTAGTGAAGTCGAACAACCCTAGTCCTCGGTCTCCCCATTGTCTGGATTTGATGCACTGCGTCCTTCAGCCGTTTGTTAATCTTCGAATCTTTCCAGTCACGTCTTTGCTTGGAGTTGAAGCTTTGCTTCTGCTGGGACATGAACAACCACCATGCGTTACTCGACATTACTTCCGGCTTATCTCCGGGAGTGCACCATCTCACATGGTCGTGCTTCTGCCGGCCACTGGTGGTGACCAGACCATGTCTCTTCTCGTGGCACCCTTCTCGCCAGATCTATGCCGCATCATCTCTCCATGACACCCAGACTCCCGCCTTCGTGCTGCACTGCCTTTAGCACATCTTGCTACATCCGGATCCTTACACTGAAACTTTCCCAGTGTTTCCGCATCTCGCTCCTTCGCCGGCTTCAACCTCATTGACCGGACATGTATAACCTCATCCTTGGCTTCCGGCTTAACTGCTTGCCTTTGCCGACCACGTTTTTCGGGACACTTCAAAGCGCGCCTACTGCTCCCACTGCCGCTTCCATTTCCGGCCACCGGCGTATCACCATTGCAACGTGGTTCAGTGGCTTTCCTCCTGCCGGAAACACTGCCTGGCTCGCCATGACCCCTTCCTTGTTGCGACCTCTTCTTCTCTGAGCTGGCGGACCCTCACGCTTTTCCTGTATCGGTGAACCGATCAATCTTCATGCCTTGGCCAAGTAAGAAATCCACGCCGATGATGACTTCATCCACAATGTCTGCCACTATAAACATAGTGTACGAGGCCACATCGTCTAGTATTACCTCGCATGGTACTTCTTCTAACACTTGGGTGCGTTCACCAGTTGCAGTCTGCAGCTTTGCTCCAGGTAGTGGCTTCACATAAAAAGTGGCCTAATCCGTTCGAATAATGGAATGTGTCGCTCCAGTATCCACTGTCAGTACTCTCTCCTGCCCATTCACACATCCACCAACAGTGAGGTTGCATGCTTTCCGGCCAATTTGTGAGGCGGAGATTATGGGCCCTTCAACTTCTGGAGCCAGCACGCGGCCCTTCCTGCTGGCTCGTTTCAGTTTAACGACTGATTGGAGTTGGCTTCGTCTCCTTCAGCCCTGCGTTTGCTTCCTGCTGAATTGTTGAGCACAATGGAACTTGCGCTGCAATTGCGGGCGAAGTGGCCTGGCTTTCCACATTTAAAACATTTGCCAGATCCATGCTTTTTCTCGCCCAGCGGTTGGATAATCTTCTTCAGCATTTCATTTGTCTCGTCCGGTGTTTCCACTTCCACGCGATGTGCTTTGTAGGCTGGTCTACTTAGGAGTGCTGCCGTTTCACGTGTCTGAGCATACGAGAGGTTTCAGCAAATTTGCCTTTGGATTCGCGTACGTCTCTCGCTTGGTATACACGTCCCGCATTCCGTTGATGAACCTCTGGATTTTTACTCTTTGAGGTGCTCACCAGATGCATCTCCAATTCCAAATGAGCCAACCTTTCAACCTCAGAGGCAATTCCTGTAAAGTCTCGTTGGATTTCTGGCAGCGATTCTCCAGCTCCATCTGGTAAATCTGTCTCCGGTGCTCGCTACCATAACGTCTTTCCACTGCACCGATTAACGTATCGTAACTGTTCCTTTCACAGTCGGGAATAGTCTGCAAGATTTCTGCCGCAGGTCCTTTCAATGCAACGAATAGTGCAGCGGATTTATCCTCCATGCTCCAATGATTTGCTGCAGCCGTTTTTCGAACTGGAGCTTAACGACCTGGAAAGGAATCGTGCCGTCAAAGGATGGAGTTTTTGCGCTCGTCGAAGTAGCTGGACGATTCAATGTAAATCACGAAGACGACCTTCCAACTCCTCTACCTTTGTCTCGACTTTCTCCTGTCTCTCTTCGATTTCGTCCTGTATTTGTGTAATTTTTGCATCCTGTGCTCCAGCTGGGATGATATACGTGTCTCTTGTGCCAGTAGCTGAGTTTCTAGCCGGGATGACACCTGCGCTGATACCTCTGAAGATATACGTGTCTCCAGCGTTTGCATCTGCGATGACATCTATGACATGCGTGTATCCTGTGCTTGCATCTGTGACGACAGCTGTGATGACATCTGTGACATGGCAGCCAATAACGTTTTCATGTCTATAGCTGTTAATGAACTAAGAGCCTTTTGGTGTTCTTCAACCTTCCCGGATGTCTGCTGCACATCCTTCGACGAACAAGCAGCTTCATCCTTCTGTTCGTCCTTTGCGGATGCATCGTCGGGTTTACCCTGGAAGTCGTATTTGTCCACGTCGATGCCTTCAGCTTCCATAGCCTCCCGCAATCGGGATAAGAACTCCACTTTTCTTCCGGAGGTGGCCAAATTACGCTTTTCCAGCTCTTGTTTCAGCTCCTCAATCTTTAAGTCCCGAATTTCGCCATTTTCAGTAGTTTATCCTTCGGGATTTATTTAACAATCCCACTTCTGACACCAATTGTTACGATTATCCTTGAAACCTCGTCCGGATTTCCCAAATCTCTCGGTTCGTATCGCTGGATTGTTAAATAAATGCAATCGATGACCAAATTGTAGTACAATTAACTTCATTGTACAACAAACAATGTACAATACTCGCTAATACAGTAAAAACACTTTATTGTTACTTGTTAAAGCAATAACAGCGCTTAACTAAACGTGGTAACACAATTAAACTTATATCTTGCTTATTCGCAATTCACTTCTCTGCTCACTTTACTTGTAGCTTGCTGTCTTGTAACTCGTAACTAACTCCCTTCGCTGTGGCGGCGCCCTTATATACCTGCGCTCGTACTTATGGCAACTCTAGAACGTTCTTAAGTTTATCGCTCATTCTCTTTCTCTCGCTGTTCGCACTGTTCATCCAACTTGACGTTTCTCTTTGTGGGACATTCTACGTCATTCCTCGAACATTCTGTCTATTTCTCGTTGTTCGCTTTGCGTTGCCGCAGTATTCGTCACAATATATATATGTATCAAAAATCGACGGGATTCTTTACCAACTTAAAACTCGAATATTATTACCCTTCTGAATAAAAATTGTAAATCTAGCTGAAACTTTGCGGATGTTTTATAATTTTTGCACAAAGTTTGAAATGTGGATTTATATTGTGTTAGTTACATAATGAGCTAGGCTTTTATAAAAAAAATAATAAACATTAAATAAACAAAAGAAAAACAGCCAAAATCGATCAAAATGTTGATGACATACCCCTCTATTCTAACAGAGTCACAAAACTTAGCTCATCACTGTGGTGATTTCTAGTGCGCCGAGAAATGTGTCACAAAAAATTCGATTTTGAGTACTAGAAAAATTCACACAAATTTAAAAATTTGTATTGTAGCGGCATATTTTTTGCAGCGGCAAGCTTTGAGGCGCAGTAGAAATCACAGCAGTGATGAGCTAAAGTTTGTGACTTTGTTAGAATACGGCTGTTAATCAGCTGATCTCATGTGTCTGTATAAAATGATTTTTATTATAACGATCTCAAACCAGTTTACAATAGTGGTATTCACCAAATTGTTGTCAACAGTCGTTGCTTGAGCCCATCTGAGTGCCAGGGCACTTGCTCACTTTGGTGAATACCATTAATGAATTTTAAATGTGCTCTGTCGAAATGACATTTAAATATACCTTACGTACATATGTACCTTTGTATACAATAAAAGTTTAATAAGAACAATTCTGTGTGCATACATGGAAAAGACGTTTTTTCAAACGAAGAGGGACGTTTTCTCATGCGTGAAACCTGGCAACACTGGTTACTGGATATTTTATGCTGGAGAATACGAAAGCACAACTTATCTCTTCGGCAACGTTTCCCATTTATAACAATGTGCTAAATATATACTTAATTAATAGTTCACAGTTTGAATTATACCGTCGAATATCATAATGAGCAAACCTGAATACTCTTTTATTTAACAAATTGAATTGTGTGTTATATTAAAAGCCTACAGGTATGCAGCTACGTTATGTTGCACAACTCCTCTTAAGAAAGAATCTTACTTAATGGTAAATATGGTAACCTTACCAACATGAGAAAATTGGCTATCAATGGTGGACGTTAATTTCAAAAGGCAAAAACTCACTCACATTTGTACACTCACGACTCTCTTTCGAAGTTCGGCAGCGCAGTTGCTTGCTCTGCCGGCTGCTCTGCCGGTTAATACGGAATTGCTTCTCATTGATGCTCTCAGTTGATTTTCTGCGCTCAGTGGAGAAGTGCGCGCTTTTCTGCAGTTGTTCGTTACGTTTGGAATTTTTCAATGCTATTGGACGACTGCTTGACCGGCCGGCTACGAATTGGAAACAAAAAGTAATGAGATGAATGTGTGAAGCAAAGAAACGAAAAAGTACGAGCCCGCCTAATTTTTAAAAGCAAATGAAACGGTACGCGAAACTCGCGTGTACATTTTGTGCTTGTGTGTATGTGCTCCCCGTTTACTTCGAGGTAGTTCTCTATTGCAATACGAAAATTTTAGTCTAGGCGCACTTAAAAAGTCTCAAAATCTTGAGTAAAAATCGGGTTAAAGATTCAAAGTAATCGAATCAAGAACATATACATACGTATGTATGTATGTACTTACGAAATGGTATAAAAGGGAAGAAGACTAGGAATGGACAGACGGCGATCAAATCAATATACATAAAGGAAAGTAAAGAAAATCGAATTGGACTATCACAAATAAAGCAATGTTCGAAAAGTGTACGAAAGGGAATGTTATTACATATTTGCAGTGAAACAAACTTGTGTTTGAATTGTTTTTGCGGGTGTGTAAAGGTTGTGTATTTGTATTTTTTTTTGTTGAACTCTTCCGCCAACATATATATACGGCACAATACTTGCACGTGAATAATGAATGCGAAAAATTGTGCAAAGTAGATTGTTACGAGTACTGCAAGTAATTTGAAAAGGATATTTTGCTAGCATCGCTGGGTGATACGAGAATTTTTGAAATGTTCGAGCTGGAAGATTATTCGAGTGGTTACCACGATGCTATTCTCAACAAATACGCGGTGAGTATTTTTTGTTTTTTTTTTTGTAATGCTCATGCCTTGGCGCTTTTTCAGCTCCATTAGGCAAGGACACTTCTTGCATATTTACATACATACTACTATAGTACCGTTCACCCACTATATGCACGCAAGTGAATGACCTGGATCTTAAAATATAGTTTTGTTGCTCTACAAAAAAATGTGTACATACATATGTCCATATATCCACTCATATGTACATACTTATGTATTTATGTACATATATATATTGCATACCATGTTACATACAAACGTTTAAAAATCATTGTAATTTTAATTTAATTTTGCTGAAATTCTCATCTCTCTTGTGGCTTGCGTTTGTCGTTGTTATTAGCCGTTGCTCTGTTTATTTGCCTCTTGACTTTTTGTGTTTATTGTTTGGTTGTTGTTATCGTTGTTTTTATTTGGCCATCAGGGCTGCCAACTTCCCTCAAACGCTTCCATTTTTGGGCCTACTTACTTCAAATGGGACTTAAGTTGTGCCGGAGTGCCAAAATGCACTTGTGAAAATAGTAATACAGTAATAAACCTTTTTGAGTACTCCTCCTAAAATCTGATCAGGCTTGATAATGAGAAGGATCATGGATTTTGTTGATTCAGAGTTGTATACAAAATTATTCTGGTATGGAAGGGAGCAACAACCGTACTATGGCAGAGTGGCACAAGTCATGACTGTGTAATAGTGCAAGAAACTATTGCAAAAGTGTAAAAACATTGCAAATTTTTGTCTTTTATTATAGACACTATTATAGATTATCATAGTTCAGTGTATAATTTGTTATATTACACCGCACATGATAATGAACTGTTAAATGCTGAAAACGCTTGTAACTTGTAGACCACTTAAACTTGGGTGTGCTTAATGGACTGTCTGGGCGGATGTGCTGGCAGGCATTGGTATCTGTATAGCTATACAAACCTTGTTGTTTTTTTTTTTTTAATAAAGACTTAAATATATTTGGAAATTTAGAATTTTCATAAAAAATTGAATCTTATAATAAATTTATTTTTATTTTAAACTTACATTTAAGAAAACTCCATTCAATGTTATAATTACGATTTGAGTTTTCCAGTTTATAAAACAAGCGTTATTTATGTACTTAACTATTGATATTATTCTTCATTACGCATGAATATCAGCATACATTAAAGATGAATATTCAGGCAGGTTCTGCAATTCACTTCCGAGTGAATTTCAACCCCTGCCAATTTGAATTCTACGCGAATCCGACTCAAATTCACTCGGAAGTGAATTGCAGAACCTGCCTGATTATACTTAACATACATTTTGTTCATAAATAACACATAATTATGTATATTTTATCCTCGAAATGTACTTTTTCTAATCGTGAGGCGAAATTCCCCACAGTAAGTGTTGCCGTGCGCGCAAAACGAACACGCTGCACACAACTCAAAAGTACTCCTCGGGGACCAAATGGTGAACAACTGCGAAAAGGTTTATTACTGTATATACCATGATAAAAACATAAGGAGTGTTCGTTATGCAACTGCCAGTAAGAATTAGCCAGTAACAAAATCCAGAGAATAAGGTACCTTAGTCTCCCAAAGAGAGAAATGTACTAAGTTTTGCACGAACAGGAATAAGCAAACACGGTTGCATTTCGAGCATAATAATTTTTTTTAATCATTTCAGGTAGAAACCAAAACAGGACCTTTATGTATATTTCTTCTTATTCTGACTTTCTTCAACATACACTTCAATTTCAGTGACGGATTTCCTATATCGACAGTGGTGTCGAGAGCGTTCCGATTACGAATACAGCTTTTTCAGCCGAGTACCTTTCAAATGTTTGGAATTAATTAAATTTATTGAATAAACGAATATTTACCTACTTCTTTCATTAGTAAATCGCAACAAGATTGTTAATTTTTAAATTTAACGCGTCTGACTTTGGTTGCATATGCAAATTAAATGGCGGAGTTCAGCTGTCCAAAATATGCAAAAGAATGAGAGACAAAAGAAGATAAGATATAACCTAGTAAGCATTAAAAATATAAACCTTTCCATGGCAAATATTTATTTAATCTTTAATTTAATTTAATTTAATAAATAATTGACATCACTGGGGCGGAGACCCCAGGTTTACCACATAGAAAGGGAATTCTAGTTACCTCATGCTTTCCCATGGCTACATCACTTGCACACCAAAAGGAGAACTGTATTTGGTAAGTGTTATAATCATACAGCGCGACCGAATGCCGCCTACGCAGAAAGGTGTTCACCCCCATTTTTTTCGCCTGATAACCACCTTGGGATAATTTCTTTTATTTGAAAACGTTGGTTATAGTTGGGTTATATTCCACTTCAAACTGCTCAATTTGCCTCGGTAAATGCCGTATTTCGCCCATTTTAAATCGGTTCCCTAGGGGTCTGTTGGAGGCCCTGAAGGTGGGGAGGGGGGTGCGGCTTTTCGTACAGTGGGGACTGTCCCCTTTCCGCCCCCACCCCAAAAACGCAAGGGAAATAACTAAACATTTCCCCTTTATTTTTCTATTTGGCACATTTTGGAACTTTTTCACCCTCAATTTGGCACTTCATCGCTAAGTATAGTTGGCAGCCTTGTTGAGCATTCACATTTTTGCTCTGCAGCCTAACTGCTGTCCCTAAATTGGAGCGCTAAGCGTTGCGTTTTCCATTGTCAACGAGTGTCAGTGCGCGCTATCCCCAAATCAACGCGGCGTGATTTTCAACGTTTTCTTAGGTCCTCTCGTTTTCATTCTCGTTTTCATTCTCGTTTCCTCTTTTACTTTTTTTGTCCTTTCTCTAGTATAGAACCCGCTGATTTCAAAAATACCCGCCCTTTTTCTAGCAACCCAATTCCGCATAAATCTGCGGTTATCAAAAGTTTACTGCTGTCAAAAAATATTTAATTTCACACAGCAGATTGGCAAAACTGTGTCCCCATAGCAAAATATTATTCAACAGCTTTCACCATAGAAATTTGTTACCGATTCACACACGCCCTTTGTTGTTAAAGTTTTTATATAAACGATGAATAAGATAGCAAAATAACATCAAACTTGGTACTGCCAGAAAGTAGAATTCGCCTTTCTGTGTTTTCGAAGAAGAGGGGCCGAAAACCTTTGTGCTTAGACGGACTTCGGCCGCGCTTAGGGATTATAACCCTTATTAAGTGGAATTCTCCTTTCTGTGTGTAATGTCATTTTATGCATTTATTCTTTGTATGTATTATTTTATACAGTATGGGCCCTGCAAACCAAAGTTCCCGAAATCTTAAAGAAATCGTTAGGAGTATCTCATTTCTGTAACGATTTTTTTACGAATTTTCAAAGAAAATTATATGAAGTGGTTGACACGAACTCGTAAAGAAATTTCTGTACGAAAAATAAAGAAAATTCAGGAAAAATTCTGAAAGATATTCTTCACATAGCAGCATTATTTTCGTTGCTTCACAGATTTTTTTCGAAATTTCGTAAAAGAATGGAGGTGCGTAATTTATTTCATTTTAGAAAATTCGGCAAAAAATCGAATTAAATCTTAACGAATTCTTTAAAACTTCTTTACAATGCAGAATACTCTGAGAAAATGGTTTGCAGGGGGAGCACATATTGTTTGTCAGTTTGCAACCATGTGTTATTGTGAATATGGACGCAATTCAATGTAATTTACAAGTTAATAAAAGTTGGATTAAAGTGATTTTTATACAATTAAAATAAAATTAAAGAATTTAAACTATTAAGTGGAGTGCTGTGTGTATTTATATACATGAAAATATACACTTTTATAAGGAAACCATGTGGAACAACTTAACACAATTATACAACAAATAACTTCCCAGCCAGCAAGAAAACGTACATTTTACGAACATTATGTTTTACGAGGGATTCTCGTATCGCCAAATAGTTAGAGAAAAGCTCGTAAACGATAAAACAAAAAAAATATAATAGAAAGAGGCTTGTAGTAATTTGTCAGCACAAGAAAAAATTTTAGTTTTGTTGACAATTTTTCTTCAATCACAATATTTTATAAGTAGTTTGTTTAATATTCAATTTAAGAAAATTATTAAGTATGTGATTTATTGGCAGACTGGTGCAAACGCCAAGGACGATCTACCACTTTCTTTTATAATTAAACTTCTTGTAAGTAGCTACTACATATGTAATTCAAAAATACAATTTAATTTAACGAGTTTTGCAATTCTTTCACAGGCTGCGCGGAGTAACACTACAGGATTTAAACGTTTAATTCCCCTATCTCGTAAGTTTATAGTTATTTATTTTTTTAATTTGCTAGTTTATTAGGTCTTTGCAGTTATTGAACTTAATGTTTTATTGATAATATGGCTTCTCAATTAAAAAGGCGTGCGAAATCCGAAGCCTTATCCGTACTAGCGTCAATAAATGATTCATTAAAAAAAAATTATTACAGATGAGGTAGCAAAACTTTTCTCGTGGAAGGGAACTGGTACCAAAAGCAGCGCTATTGGTTTGGCAACGACTGCGGCAATAAGAAGTACGGATCATAATATTATTTATTACCACTTTTTACTTAATTAAATTTTCCGGTTTCCAATGGAGTTTAATCTTTCACTTTATTTTCTTAGGTGCTTTTCGTCAAAAATTTAACTCCCACGAAGAAGTTTTTATTTCCGTTTCAAAGAAGCACTTCCAATATGCACACGACCGGCAAAAAAAATTGGCAGCCTATCGGCAAAAAAGATAAAAAATAAATTCAGCAACTTTATAATATATATTAAACCCCTCTTATTTAATTGTTAATTTGTTAATAGATAGTTTGTTAATATTTATTTATCTGAAAATATCTTCACATATACAGTGCCGGGAAAAAATATTGGCACAGAGAATTTTTCGCCATGAATGCAAAGTTTTTTATTCTGATTTCTTCTCTAATTGTTTTTTATAAAAATATAGTTAGTATGAAGTTCTACTTTCAAATCAGATTTTTTAGAAAAATTTTAAGTATGCAGTTTTATAGCCCA